GGGGCCCGGGGGGGGGGGGGGGGGGGGGGGGGGGGGGGGGGGGGGGGAGCGTGATGCCATGGCACTCTGCCTAGGGGGATAGCTTGAGGCTCCGTCTCAAAAAAAAAAAAAAAAGAAACTGGAAATAACTTTAATCACGGCCTCTACAGGGTTATGATAATACTTTAAATCTTCAGCTGAGTATTCTGTAACATGGACAGCCAAACGACACTGCTGCTCCATTGAGTAAAGGTTGGAGGATAAGGAAAGTCAGATGCTCTGAACTGTGACCTGTGTGCCCTATGCACATTCTGGGAACTGGCGATGTTTCCCTTGGGACCTACCAGCCTAGTGTCTTCCATAGGCACCATGGAGGTTTCTAGAGTAAAGATGAAACGACCACTGGGACCTGACCTCTCTTAGTCTGCTTGGAATCCCATGTTCTTATAGCAAATCTACACCTAGGCATGAAGGAGAATTTCCCCTTCTAAGAAGAAACTGCTGAAAGGCAGATTATGCTGAGTTGTGTGCGAAGAAGCCAAATCCAACAACGATTCCAGGTGATCTAAGTGACAAGCCAGAAAATGCAGGCTGGATATGGACAGCTGACAGTCATTTCATGTGCTGTACTCACAAATCGGCACATGGCAGGTGCCAGGCACTCTGCCAAACACTTTCTATGGAGAATTCATTCAATCCTCACACCAGCCCTACAGGGTAGCTATGTGGGTGGCATTGCCAGAATTGGAGCCCAGACATTCTGCCACCAGATTCTGTGCTCTTAACCAAATTACTATACTGCACCCGGCGCTAGACAATAACTCTGGAAACTTGCTTTTACATTTAGTGTAATTTTCCTATAGTAACTTAGCCTGGAGGCCCTAGCAGTCCACTGAATAATTTAAGGACAGCTCCATTCATTTCTAAAAGGACTAAGGTCTTTCAGGCTCAGCGCCGGTAGCACAGTGGTTACAGCACCAGCCATACACAGTGAGGCTGGTGGGTTCAAACTGGGCCCAAGCCAGCTAAACAACAATGACAACTACAACAAAAAATAGCTGGGTGTTGTGGTGGGCACCTGCAGTCCCAGCTACTTGGGAGGCTGAGGCAGGAGATTTGCTCAAGACCAAGAGTTTGAGGTTGCTGTGAGCTATGACACCACCACACTCTACCAAGGGCAACATAGTGAGACCCTTGTATAAAAAAAAAAAAAAAAAAAAGACTAAGGTCTTTCAAAGGACAAAAAAACAGAAAAGTGGTTACTATTGTCTGAGACCAGTTAATGGTGCTTTAAAGTACAAACTTGACGATAGTTGTTATTGCTGTCATCAGTGAGCTTTGTAGTTTGCAGAAGTTTCCAGACTCCTAGATGGTCCTGCTCACCAGGAGGAGGTGGAGTCTAAGGAAGCCTTGCCAACCCTGAGGCAAAAGGAGGCTTGAGGAAACTCCGGCAACAAAGCTGTTTGGTTTCTAAAGGTCTTGTGCCTTCCCAGGAATCTTCTAGATCATTTTCAAGGTGGCCTTAGAAGGATGTGTTCTGTGCTCTCTTCAAAATGGGGCTTTGGATGAAGGAAAATGGGCCTTTTTTTTTTTTT